CTAGCTGCCCTTAATGAGATAAGAGACAATGTAATCAGTTGATCTATGTTTATTTTGTGTACAATAATACAATGATAATGACAATAATAATAATAATTGATCAATTAATCTTTAGGGATCTGTATTAGAGATTTTGAAGGATACATCTGTAAAATGGAGATAATAATAGCAACTACCTCCCAAGGCTGATTTAAGGAGCAAATGAAATAATATTTCTAAAGTGCTTAGAATAATGCCTGGCACAGAGTTGATATTTAATAAATGTTCATTTCCTCCCTCCCTTTCTTCTCCCCCCCTTTCTTTCTTTGTTCATTCATTTTTCTTTCCTCCCTCCTTCCCTTAGTCTTTCCTTCTTTCCTTCCCTCCCTTGTTTCCTTCCTTTCTTCTTTTCTTCTTTCCTAAAATGAACAGATTTCCCTCTCAAAGATTTGTATAGGCAATGTGGCCTTAATTCACATGCAGGTTTTCCATTGGTGCTTTTTGATCATGTGTCCCTCTTGGGATGAAAATCCATGTATTTAAGAAATAAGAGACCTGGGTTTATTCTTGGCTTATGTCATTTGGCCTGTCAGAATGGGCAAATTTACCTCAGGTAAAATTCAGAAAACAGCAATGCTATTTGTTTCTGTGAGATATTTTCTAAATAAATTCAACAAACATTTTCTTAGTGGATTCATTCATTCATTCCACAAACATTTGCTTGGTGCATACTTTGTGCAGAACACTATGCTAGGCATAACATTTATGTAGTGTGTGATTTCTACCCTCAATACAATTTAGTGTAGTTAATGTATATAAAGTACTTTTTAGCTTTTCAGAGAAAGTAATAGAAAAGTACAAAGCCATTTAATACAATCCAAATCCAGCAAGCATTTATTAAGCTTCTACTTTTACTAAAGCATTGGGGATACAATGACAAAAACTTACAATAGGCTCTGACCTCAAGGAGCTTACATTCTATTGGGGGAGATACAGCAAGTAAACAGATGAGTACATCCATGTCAATTTGAGAAGGAGAAGGAGAGTATTAACACCTGAACTGAACTTTACGGAAGGCTAGAGATAGTAAGAGGTCGAGGGAGGAAGGAACGCATTAGAATCACAGGGAAAAACCTATGTGAGAAATGATTCATTTGGACCCCTGCTCTATTCCAATCAGTATTAATCAGTTAGCTATTTTACATAAATCATATAGGGACAGTTAGGTAAGATAAATTCTTATAGTAGGCCTCAAACTTTAATCCAACATTTGCCACTTATTTACCAGTTATGAAGCTCACTTGTACAACAACTAGAATGCTGACAAAGATATCTCCATTCTGTTTTGCTCAAATTCCCTATCCTAATCCAGCATGGTGGGATGCCTCGATTCTTTGGAAAATCCTCCAATTTAATTTTGTACGTTTGGACCACTCTTTCTTGCCCAACATGAGGAGGTGACCATCTTATGACCACTTAGTCACCAGAAATGACTCTTGCCTTGCCCATCTAATGACCACTTACTCAGCAGAGGTGTCCAGTGCTTAGACCAATCTGTGACTCCCCTGCTGTCACATTATTTTGGTCCTTAAGAGCAAGGTCTGTCAACCAATGATATTCTGTATTTTACCATGCCTCTTTTACGTATTTGGGTACCAAATCCTATAAAAGTAAGGCCCTGGGGAAAGGAGGTATTTCAGATCATGAGAAAGACCTAAGGTCCTCTTTATTAGAGGAGGCCATGGACCTTTTAATAAAATGCTATTGGCTTGAAGCTCTGCCTCAGTGGTTTTTCTTGCAGAATGGACAATTTTGGATCCCACGCTTGCACAAAGGACTGAGAGTGGGAGAGGGAAGGATGAGTTCAGGAAGCAGCAAGTGGGTTGAAACAATTTTGTCTTGTTGCCTCATATACTCATACATATACTCATATAATATTTGTTACAAGGAAAGTCTTTTATGGAGCAGAAATGTTAGTGATGTGAAAAGATCATCAATAAAATATTACAAAAATTTTAAGGTACAGAAGAAAACAAAAAAGGTATTGAAGCTATAAATAGAATTTTGTAAATACCTTGTTAATTTCCTATATATATGTAATATATATGGTTATTTAAAAAATAACCTGCATGCAACAGTTCACTTTGTTATACTAGTTTTTTTTACTTAAAAGTTCCCTTTAATAATATTGCATTCAATAATACTTTTCTAGACATTTGTAGTTTTTCCAGGAACTATTGGGTTATGGTCATGTCATCTGTTTACAAATATAACACATAATTTATAGAATAAGATTTCATACTTTGTACAATGCAAGAACTCCCAGGCAACTTTCCTAGTTATAGTCTACTCTATATACTTAACTATCAAACTGCCAAAATTCAATTTAATTCAGGTTATTCTTGAAAGATAAAATATTCAAATAACTCAAATACTCGTATAAAAGTGTGAAATTAATTTTTCAAGAGGAAATGCAGTTATCATTCTTGTTACACTTGTTGAGGAAAGAAAACATCCTCAAGATTCCAATCCATAATAATGATAAAAGATTATGCAAAGGTGTACTGTTTACAGACTTAACTTTTAGTCTCAACAACCACTTCATTTCATTTATGGGTAGAATCTTCTATTCATGCTCTAAGTTTTCTGTTTTGTGGGTATTACTGCCAGGCTTGATACTTGATGCTCTCAGATAAATACTTAGTACAAAATTTGACAAACAAAAAAAATCTTTTCTTCAGCACTATGAATATTGCCTACATTTATAAATAAAAAATCCATGTGTATGCTGTAAATTTTATTTCCTATTGTGAGCCAATTTTTATATTTCAGTTTAAGATCTGTTAACCAAATCAACAATATGACATTTGCCCAATTTACAGTTTAATTAAGATTATGTTAGACTAGTCAAAGTAGAATCTTCTAAACAATTTTTAAAGCCAAAATAATTGTCAGGGCACTTTATCTAACATTCTTCATAAATGTGGTATTTTTCAAAAGTATAAGTTATTTTGGTTGGATCATCCGCAAAAATGACAACAAAAGGTGCCCTATAGCCTTTCTAACTAGAAAAAAGGTTAATTTACAGAAGCTTAGAAACCCAAGAGTAGACAGTAGACTTGATTGGCTCTTATTCACAATGCATACCATGGCATCACATATTTAAGAAGTTTTCTGTATTTGGCTTAGAAGGGGTTTCTTCCCAAGAAATTGAACTTTTCTATCAAGTGCACTTGATTGAATGGGTGAATTTGGTTCATAAAATGGATTCATTGCAAACTTTATATATAAATCATAGACATGACTAAAGATGTTCTTTATTCCATCTTCTTGTCTTACATCATGAAGCATAATAAATCTCATACGGCTTGCAGTAACAAAAGCAAAAACAAACCACTCATCGAATTTGGCCACAGTTTTCAGGTACATATTGTTAGACAGCCACATATTTTCATCTTCTAGGTCAAAGGTTGCATGAGCTATGAACTAGTTCAGATGACGATGATCATCCTTAGATTCCACTTTTCCAGATGGTGAAAAAGTCCATTTCAAAAACTGGATTATCATGATGGCCTACAATTACAAAGTAGAAGCTTCCAGACATTGTTTCCAATGTACAGGTCCTGTGAGCAGGACGTGGCACCCGCACCCACCGCACCATCTACCACCCACCACCCTCCTTACTCCACTACTATCTGTTTTCTTATCCATCTTTATATATTGAAATGTTTGTGTTTGTTGATGATTAATACATTCAGAATGGAAAAAAAAGAAAATTTAAGATAAAAAAAGAGAAACAGAAAATGGCCATTTTGCCTGGAACATGAAATTTGGGATAGCTTGGAATGATAGATACACTTAAGCCAGATTTTGAAAGGCTTTAAATGTCAAGCTGAGGAGTTTTCAGGAGGAGTTGCAAGGAATTTACCCTTATTCTAGAGGAAACAGGGAGTCACTGAAGTTTCTTAAGGAGGGGTATTACTTTCACCAAATTACACACTGTATACAGTTAGATGGTATGTCAACAATCACACTTCCCATTTAGTATATGGCTCAGAGTTATTCCTTCTTGGTATCCTTTAACACACTAAATTCTTAATTGTCCCAACAAGTAATTAACATTCAACTCATTCTTTACAAGTTCTGCTGAACAACCATAAAAATCAACAGCCTATAGACCTCTAAGAAACGTTTTATAAGTTCATCCTTTGGTTTGCATCACATAAAAATTAACATAAAATGCTTTGCAACAGAGTATAGAAAGTCACAAGCATAAATACACAAGTCATTTTTCATATAAGTTGTTCTCTGCCAAGTGGGATGGGACACAGCCATAATCCCTGCTATGGGGGAGGCCCATTCTGGTGGATCACGAGCTCTGGAGTTCTGAGCTGCACAGAGCAAAGCTGATCAGGTGTCCATGCTAAGTCTGGCACCATTTTGGTAAGCCCTGAGAAACAGAGGCCTTCAGCTTGCCTAAGGAAGGGAAACAGAGAAGGTCAAGACTTTTCTGTACAATCAGTGGTAGAATTGGACCATGAATGGCTACTGCAATTCTAGCCTGGACAATATAGGAAGACCCAGTCTGAAAACAAACAAACAAATCAAAACAAAATAAAATAAAAAGTCACTTTCCCCATTTTATGGGTAGAGATGAAAATTATATGTTATTTTAGGCAAGTGTAAATAATTTGCATTTTCTTTCTCCTTTAGCTACTTTTGTTATGGAGTGGATGGTTCTACTGACCAACCTGTCCCAAAAAGAGCTACAGTGAAGATTCTGGGAAGGCCCATCTTGGAGTTCCACCAGGAGTAAGTCAAACCTTGAGGCCAGGAAAATATTGGGACAATACAGTGATTCAGTGCTACGAATAGAGTGGGAGTTTAATTTATCTTTGATGGTGATTTTGATACAGAAAGGCCCAGGGAAAGAATTCTTTGGAGACTGTGACTCCTAACCTCAAGGGGTCCTATTCTTCCTTCCTGAAAGTAATTCATTCATGCACTGGGGAGTTCTCCATTCATATGCTTGACATTCTTTTTCTTGGGAGTGTTCCAGCTGTATTTTTAGCAGTTCTTTTCCTTGCAGATTGTACATGTTCAGCCATCTGTGATTGGCTGGCCTTGCCTTGCTCAAGTGTGACTGGAGACTTGCAATTGAAGTTGTGGTTGGGAAGGGGGACTTCATCAGGCCTGGAATCCAGTGAAATATTCACATTAAGGCTGCTTGCACTTTGGGAAGAGTACATATACAATGTCTTAAGGAAGGCAGATTTTGTATTGGTCTCCTGTTTACAGAGAATGATGTAACATTTAGGAAAAAACGTGCAACACAGAATTCCATAGTTAGATATTAAAATGACAATGATCTCCACAGCTGGTAAGTATTTGCCAAAAGTTGTGGCGTAAATGGGGATAAATATTATCCATGCGATGAAGTAAATGAGCATGCCAAACGTTATGAACTTAGCCTCATTGTAATTTGCTGGCAACTTTCTGCCTTTAAAGGCAGATATAAAGCAAACAAATGCCAGGATAGCTATGTAGCCTAGCATGGTACCAAAGGCCATGATGGAGCCCTCATCACACTCTAAGATAATAACTCGGGGTATGGAGAAATTCTCCTCCACAAAAGGCTCTGCAAATATAAGCCATATTGTACAGATGATCATTTGAACCCCTGTACAAATCACTATGATGGGTATGGGCTTGTAAAGGCTCTTCAGACATTTTTGCAATCCGGGGTCAAAGCTGAAGGCTAGCAGAATTTTTAGGGACTTTGTCAGGATGCAGGAGATGCACAGGGCAAAGCTCACACCAAAGAAGGTCTGCCTGGCTTTACATTTGAAGTCTCGTGGCTCTCCCACAAAAAAGCTGGTGCTGACAAAGCTAAAAAAGTGACAAAGGAGGATTACATAGCAGATGATCAAGCCCCCGGATGATTTGACCACAGGGGTGTTCAGGTTTCTAGTAAATATTATTCCAACTGTAAGAGTGCAGACAATTCCCAGTGCTGAGAGAGTCAGGAGCAGAATGGCGAACCAGTCGTTCCAATTGAGATACTCAACTTGCTTCTCAAAGCACCTGGTACTATTCGCTGGGGCCCAGTGGGTCTTACGGTTGCATAAAAGGCAGTGATCCATATCTACAAAGGAGAAGAAAGCATTGGACTTGGGAGCCTACAAGCGGGCATTGGTAGGCCAGGCCAGGCCAGGTTACTGGAAGGCATCATTTTGGCAGTCCCGACTCTAAAAAAAGAGGTGATTTATCAGACATAGACAGTGGTCAAGAGGGTCTATGTATAAAAGTATACAGTGGCCTTACAGAGAGAAGGAGAAAGAGTCAGCTGAGGGGGAAGGGACAAGAAAGGAAATACAGAGATGGGGTGATGGAGATTTAGCTGGGATTTAGGGGCAAAGTATGTGTGTGTGTGTGTGTGTGTGTGTGTGTGTGTAACACATACTTTTCTACTCAAGGTAAAAGAGTACCTGAAACCCAGGAAAGAAGATAAAAAGAAGGAACCTAGAAAGTTTTCCAGGAAGAAAGGAAGGAATATATTCCAGAGGGCCTAGTTTCTTATGAATGTATAATAATTAAAGGTATGGAGGCAGCTAGATGTCTCAGTGGTTAGAGTGCTAGACTTAAATTCAGGAAAGCCCGAGTTCAGATCCTTCCTAAGACACTGATTTGGCATGATTAAGTGACTGGACAAGTTATTAAACCTCTGCCTGCCTTGGTTTTCTCATCTGTAAAATGAAATAAAAATAACACCTACCTCACAGGGATAAAAGGAGACAACATGTAATGCACTTTGTAAACCTTAATATATTAAATAAATGCTAGCTATTATAATTAATTATTATGTAGTTTTGAAACCAGAGGAATTATATCAGGCTGCCTCAGAAGGCGCATGTACAGTGCATGGCAGTACGTTGGTCATCACTTGGCTAGACTATTCTACAGAGGACTGGACCTATGATTTCATTGTATAGGAATCTCTCAGGTGAATATATTCTTTCTACCAGTGAAGGCCAGAACTTTTTCTGAAACTTATAGTCTTTGAGAGCTACTTAGAGCACTGAAAGGTTAAATGAGGGTCATAGTCAGTGTGTGTCAGAGGTGAGATTTGAACTCAAGTCTTCTTGGCCCTGAGGCCGACTCTTTTATCTGTTATGCTGAAATGTCTCATAACTCCTTCTGTAACAGTTAGGTGCTGGAAATAGGGTTCCCTCTGAAAACTTCAGGATGCCAGTCACTGTATTTATACCACTATGGCAACAGGATATTTAATGTAAATAATTTCTATTCCCATCTCTGCCAAAGCTAGAAAACCAATCTCATTAACAAAGAAAAGGAAAATGCTTCCTCTTTCCTTCTTGTCTTTCCCTCCCCTCCCATTACTTCTTAAATCTGTAATTTTGTCAGCGTGGGTACTCCCTCCATCAGTACAGACTATAACCCCTCAGTTGGCAGCCTTCTTGTGATACAGTGGCTGGAAAAATTCTTTACCCAGTGGTCAACTTGGTGATGAATGTCTTTGAATGTGGCTAGACAACCCTGATAACACCTGTAAGGTCCATAGACCACATCTGTACTTGAAGCCTTTCTACTTTGATAGGACTTTCAGGAACTTATGTTCCACTGGCATGGCCTTGGAGAGCCCAGGGTCAACTCCATGCCACAAGGAAGCTTCCAAGTAGAGCCTTAGTGGATACTTACCTTACCCTTATACCTTACTAAATACTGCGAATTGCTGTAGAGCAATGGTATCAAATTTGCATGGAGACAGGACCCACTAACTTGTATGTAAGAATCCCTATAGGTGCATATGAACTTGATTTAAAATCTATCTATCTTTATATAATTGTATTTTTATTTATTTTGTTAATTTTAATTTTTATTTCGTTATAAAATATTTTATTATATTTGTCATATGTTATATATATTTGTTATAAAATAAAAATATTTTGTCAATTTTAAAGATATATATCTTTATATAATTGTATTTTTATTTATTTTGTTAAATATTTCCCAATGACATTTTAATATGATTTAGGCTCCCCTAGGGAATATTATGGGTCCAAGATCCAGACCCCATGTTTGATACCTCTGCTGCAGAGGATAGGTCTCTAGGCCTGGAATTTTTTCTCATTAGACATTGGGTGGATACTTCTTCATGTCTTGCACTTAGTAGTAGCACTTAAGTGCTTATTGAAATGAATTAGAGTGAATTGAAGTGGTGGAATATGAGAACTGTTGGAATTTCATACTATAAAAAAAGGGAAGAGATCATAAAGCAATTGCGATATGTTATTTAAAGTGGTATGATAAGAAAAATAATAATAGCATTTTTATAGTGGTTTAAGGTTTGTGAGAGCTCTACCAATATTATCTCATTTGACCCTCTCAACAGCCCTGGGAGGGAGGTGCTGTGATGTCCTCGAGCTTCTCAGGAAAAAAGAAAATGAAAGATTTTGATGTCCCCCTTGCCTAAAAGTAAGGGTAGCCTGGGCCATACTATCTCTCCATGTCTAGTCCAGGTCTCAGTTCTGGGGCTTGGTTGCCATTACAAACAAGACACAATGGGCAGCAGGATAATGCTGAGTTCCTCTCCTAGGTTCAGCTTCTGAGATTGTGAATTGTCCTTTTAAGGCTCTGATGGCTGCTGACCTCACTCTAATCCTTTAATTTGCATTCTGGAATGACAAACAATAAGTTACTAGCAACTCTCTGCTATCAGGAGTCAGCCTCCTTGTCCCTGTTGAAAGTTCCTTCTTTCATGTCTTAATTTTTTACTCTTGGTTGGTGAGAATGATAAGATCTCCTACGTACACCTGCCTGCTGCATCCAGGTGCTGACCGGGTGCTCTTCTGCTCGGCCCTGTCATTCAGGGATTGCTAGAGAGACAGTGTGATCTAGGGAATAATAATAATGATAATAACAATAATAATAGCTAGCTGAAACATAAGGCTTTAAGGTTCTCAAGGTGCTTTACAAATCTTATCTTGTTATTTTCATGACTATGTTGTGAAGTAGGTGGTGTTATTATACCTCTTTTACATCCTGCTCAGCGGTTATATTTCTTTCCAGTCTGTACCCTTAACTGGATGTAGCTTTACGTCATTCTCAAAGAAAGCTATGATTGAGGGAAAATGGACCTAGCTGGGGTTTTGGGAGAACTGGAAGGACACATTAGAAAATGTCAGACTTGCAAGGAGCGGTGTAAGTTGAAGTTTTTGGAAAACTGACATATTTTTCTTACCTGTCTGATTGCTGTAGTGATTTTCAGGGCAGCTCACACATTCATAGCAGCATGTATGTTGGCTTTGGGTGGTTTTCTTCATTTGACCAGGACCACATTCCTTGGAGCATTTAGATTGAATTTGCTAGGAAAAAAAAGGAGGAAAAAATACTTTCAATGTTTTAACTTAGGATGTGGTTATGATTACTGGAGATTTAGATGTGTTTTTGCATCATTTTCATGACACCTAGAAGACTGCAAACAAAGTTAAAAAGCTAAAACAAATAAAATATTAGATGGAGAATATTTTTTAAAGGAAGTATCTAGTTTTTCATATATTTTAAACTTTCTGTGCATATTTGTATAATTGTTAGCTATTTTTCTTAATAGTATTTTATTTTTTCCAATTACATGTAAAGATAGTTTTCAACTGTTAACTGTTTTAAAAGGCCTTAAATAGGCAGAAAAATAAGGGTGGCTAGATGGTGCAGTGGCTGTAGAGCCAGGCCTGGAGTCGGGAAGACCTGAGCTTAAACTTGACCTCAGACACTTACTAGCTGTGTGACCCTAGGCAAGTCACTTAACCCTGTTTGCCTCAGTTTCTTCATCTATAACATGAGTTGGAGAAGGAAATGGCAAACCACTCCAGTATCCTTGCCAAGAAAACCCCAAAAGGGGTCATAGAGTTGGACATGACTGAAAAATGACTAAAACAAATGGAGAGAAATAGGCAGTAGTGGAAATGAAAGTGTGATGCAGGCCTGACTCGTTCCTCATTCCTACCCAGTTACAATGTGGTGCAGTGGGAGAAACACCAGATGAATCCACCAGACGTGGATTCCTTCCTTTGGTGCAAATTATCTCTGTGGACTTTGGCAAGTTAGTCAACCGACCTTGGCTTTGGTTTCAACATCTGTAAAGTGAGGCGGTTGGATTGGATGGTCTCTGAGGCCCTTCTAGCTCCTACAGGTTATTTTAGGTCAGGGACTCTTTCTTTTTTTTTTCAGGCCAAGTGGGGTTAAGTGACTTGCCCAGGGTCACACAGCTAGTAAATGTCAAGTGTTTGGTCTGAGGCCGGATTTGAACTCAGGTTCTCCTGACTTCAGGGCCAGTGCTCTATCCACTGCGCCACCTAGCTGCCCCCTAGATTAGGGATTCTTAACCCTAAGGGTCTGTAGATAGATTTCAGAGGGTACCTGAACTTGGAGGGGGAAAAAAAAAATACATCTTCATTTTCATTAACCTCTAACTGAAATTTAGCATTTCATTCAATTATTTAAAAACTATTCTGAGGAGTCCATGACATACAAAAAAGGTTAAAGCTCCCTGTGCTAGAGACTCTTTTTTTTTTTCTGGGGTAAAGGGAGGGGAGAAGGTTCTGAAGATAGAGTACACACAAATCCAGTGAGGTTTTGAAAATGGTCAAGATTAAAATGGTGAAAGTATCCCACTCTAGGCTTAAGTTGGAGTTATTTTAATTTTAATTTTTTTGCGAGGCAATGGGGTGAAGTGACTTGCCCAGGGTCACACAGCTAGTAAATGTCAAGTGTCTGAGGTCTGATTTGAGCTCAGGTCTTCCTGAATCCAGGGCCAGTGCTCTATCCACCAGCTGCCCCCAGGTGGAGTTATTTTTAAAATTTTGTTCCAAACCCTGAAGACATAAACAATATTTAACTATGAATATTGAGCACTCCGGTTTTGGAGTTTGAAGATGTGGGTTCACGTCCTAGCTCAGATACAGGTTGGCTCATCTCACACAGTTCCAAGATGTTTAAGCTCTGTGAGCCTCAGTTTCTTCATTTGTAAAATGGAGCTAAAAACACTTTCACAATTTACCTTATAGAGTAGTTGGGAGGAAAACACTTCATAAACACCAAGGTTATTATTGTTAGCATATTAATGATTATGATAGCTAACATTTTTGTAGCACTTTCTATATGCCAGGCACTATGCTAAGGGCTGTATGATTATTATCTCATTTGTTCCTTACAACAACACTGAGAAGTAGGTGCTATTATTATCTGTATTTTACTCCTGAGGAAACTGAGGCAAACAGAGGCAAAGTGGCTTACCCAGGGTCACACAGATAGTCAGTGTTGGAGGCTGGATCTGAACTCAGGTCTTTCTGATTTCAGGCCTGGTGCTCCATCCATTGTGCTACCTAGCTGCCAATCAATTCTATTACAAAATGAATTACAAATAGAATTTTTTTGGACATATTTTTTATGTTGTTATCTCTGGCACTGAGAGGTGGAATGGTCTAGAGGATAAAGGCCTAACTTTGGATTCAGGAAGACATGGGTTTAAGTCTTGCCTCTGACTCATACCACCTATATGACCTTGGACAAGTTACTTGACCACACAGTGTCTCAGGAAAGTGTTAAAAGACTATGAATTAGAGTTGTGTTGCTGATCTGTGTTGGTCTCTATACTGGATATCCCTAAACCAATGAAGTCATAAATCCAATAAGGAGGAGGAGGAAGAGGAAAAAAGGAAAAAGAAGGAAAAGAAAGAGAAATCTCTGAATCTGGATATTCTTGGAAGATGGATCACCTTAACTTCATTGACTGCTACATCATGTTGCTGACTCATCTTGAGCTTTTATTCCACTTAAACTTTTCTTTTCTTTTTTGGCAAGGCAATCAGGGTTAAGTGACTTGCCCAGGGTCACACAGTTAGTGAGTATCATGTGTCTGAGGCTGGATTTGAACTCAGGTCCTCCTAACTCCAGGGCCAGTGCTCTATCCACTGCACCACCTAGCTACCCCTGACTTAAACTTCCATATATTTTTTAGACAAACTGCTAACTTTACATCCCCCATCCTGTATGTGTCAAGTTGCCTTTTTTAAATTCAAGTGTAAGAATTTATCCCTATTGAATTTAATATAATTAGATTTAACTCAGTGCTCTAATACTCACTCAATTGATATGCTTAAACTTTTGCAATTATACCACATTTTATTTTTGAAGTCTTTTTAAAAGTGTTTAAAGTCAGATCTTCTTTATGCTAATCTGTAAATCTTCATGATACTTGCTACAGGATAAATTAATCTCAGCATACTCCTTTTAACTTGAAAATAGTGCTTAGAGGTTAAATGCAACTTTTTCAAGGCTATCTAGAGATTTTTATTGCTAAGACCACAACACGACTAGAACAAATTCAAGTCTGAATCCATTCCCCTGATGCACTCATCTGTTTTTATGTGGAGAAGAAAGTGACTTGACTCTAGGAGAAATGTGCCTAGATTTTGGATGACTTCTTAGTTGAGTGCCTCTATGCTGACTGATAATTTCTTTTGTTCTTTGAGCACACTTATGATAAACTCTGGATTATCTATGTGTAGGTTATCTGATTTGAGGATTACCCATCTGTTATCTAAAGTGCCATCCCAGGCATTGTATGCTTAGGAAACAGAAAATAATTTTTCTATTAACCAGAGCAAAAAATCATTGAGGTGATAAAGATGGCCCTCTTCCCACTCTTATCTTTGTGTTTAGTTTATTCAGCATGTATTGGTTGCATTTGGATTGTTTACTGCTTTGAAGGATCATTTTGGCAAATCGACAGAAATTTTGGCTTCCCAACTAGTTGATGAAGATTAAGAGTTGATCATGAAGAGAGCCTGTTCTAATACCTCCTCGTAGTGTGGAAGTGACCCTAGGTTCTTGAAGACTATTCCAGCGGAGCGTAAGCTCTGAAAGATTCTGTCATGTTGGAGAAACTTTGAGTATGTCCCCAGCAACAGACGATGTTTGTTTTCCAAGGGCCGGCCTAGCTAAGTATAGAGAGACATTACCTTTAGGCTGACTACTTGGTGTTAAATTCTTTGGCCATGACAAGCCATGGAACAAAAATTCATAGATACTGCCTCATCCCTGTTCATAGTTTGAAGATATGTTTAGGAGGGTGGGGAATGGGAGAAAATGGTTACAGTAGGGAGAGAAGATATTGCCACACTCCTTCCTCAAAGTAGCTACCACCAACTAGACCCTTCCCTCCAATGAGGCTGCTCAAGGCACATTTCCCCCACCCTAACATAGCCAATGACTCACATTTCATCCCTGCCTCTCACCCACCCAGTGAATTTAAGATTTCAGGAGAATTAAAGATAGATTATCTTTAATCTAGATTAGATTGAAAATCTAGAAAAGATTGGTGAATCCTGCTATACACAGTAAGAAAAGGGGTCAAGGAATGCTTACAAAGATATGATTAGTTTACCTGGTGGGTTCTTAGTCATTTAAAATGGCTATGTACTTGATATGGCTACTATGATTATCAGAAAACCATAATAAAGACAAGTCACTTGGAAGGATACAGGCTATTTAACAGAGTCTTAGAACTTCTGAGTTGCAAGGGACCTCAGACCATCTAGTCCAACTCATAAGTTAATAATAAGATTTAGTATTTAAATAGTATCATAAGGTAGCAAAAGTGCTTTGCAAGTGCTTTATATTGTCTCAGAGGTTGAGAAGCTAAATGATTTGCCCAGAGTCACATAGCAAAGTGTCTGAGACTGGATTTGAACTCAAGTTTTTGTGACTCTGGGTCCAGAGCTCTATTCTCTTCTCTACCTAGCTGCATCAGTAACCTTAGTAAGAAGCCACTTTAGAACACACCTGACAAGCAGTCATCTGTTCATTCCTTGAAGGCCCCTGGGGTATCCCGTTCTACTTGGGAAAAACTAATAGTTAAAAATTATTTTCCTTTGAGCAAATCTAAATACACCTCTGCAATTTGAGCTAAATACAATAAATGTTTGGTGAATGAATGAATCAAATACTTCTTCAGTGGCAGCTCTTGACCCTTTTCTGAAATGCAAGTTTTGACAAGAAAAATACAATATCAACATTATGGCTTATTTGCTTTTTTTTTTTTTTTTAACATAGCATAGTGGAAAGAGGGCTGGATTTGGAGCTAGGAAAACTGGCTTTAAATCCTTGCCTATGGGCAAATTATTTAATCTTTCTGAGTCCGTAAAATAGGGCTAATGATACCTGTAGAACCTATATCACAGAGTTGCTATTAGGGCTTGAATGAGATGACGGGTGATTGTATCACATGGCCAACCATATTTACTTAGCCTTTATTTAGTCAAAGCCCTGCATCACCCCAGGCAACTTCTTTTCATTTGCCTGACTCTGCATTGGAAGTATCTCTCCTACTACAACCTCTTTGCTTTCCAGCCCTGCAACTGCAGTGAAAATCAATACTGTTATTGTTACTGGGAAGGGATGTTAATCAATTTTCTTATGGTTTTACTCATCCAGATAACTTCCCAAACAAAAAAAATCCCTTCCTGGCCAATCCTCTTCCCTCCAACTATATATGTTATTTCCCTCTATTAGAAGGTAAGCTTCTTGAAAGAAGGGGTTATCTTTTATATTTCTCTCTCCATCACTTAGCATAGTGCTTGCCACATAAAACAGTGCTTAAAAATGCTTTTCCTTTTATTCACTTATGGAGGTAAAATACTTTGTAAACCTTGAAGAGTAATATCAACATCAATTATTACTAATATCATTACTATTATTCTTTAAAGAAAATATCATCTTTTTCTGTTGCATTTTCATAATGGGAATGAACATTAAATAAGGAATGTTGTTTAAAACCATAATGTTGTTTAAAACTCAGTCTTATTAGGCATGGATCCAATCTAATGGGTGCTATGGTGCAGGGTAGCATTAAAATACCTTTAGATTCTTGAATTCCTTTTCAGTTTTTCTGTCTTTAAAAATGAAAACATCTTTTTCTAGATCATATTCTGCCATGTTGATAATGGTCATGTGTCCATTGACTTCCTTCCAAAGCAGAACATTATATCCAGTGTTAATGTCCCCTTGTGAATCAAATTGAAATTCACTCTCTCCATCAGTAAATGTCACATTCTTAAGTGCTTCAAGTAACTATGCAAAAAAAAAACCAAAACAGAAAGCAATTTAATACATTATCACAATGTGATACCAGAAATTTTTTTTATTTGTTTGTTTTTGCAAGGCAATTGGGATTAAGTGATTTGACCAGGTCACACAGCTGGTAAATGTCAAGTGTCTGGTTGGTCTGAGACCAGATTTGAACTCAGGTCCTCCTGACTCCAGGCCCGGTGCTCTATCCACTGCGCCACCTAGCTGCCCCAATACCAGAAATTTTTAATGAGTGCAGCATGGTATAAGGAAAAGCATGCTAGATTCTGAAGATGAAGAAAATTAAGCCCAGAGAGGTGAAGAAACTTGCCTATGGTCACATATAATTAGTGGTAGAGCTAGGAATAGAATGTAGGGTCTCCTGATTGACTCTCATATTGTGCCCTTGCTATAGGACTATGCATTAGATATACTACTTATGTCTTGATTTTGTCTTGCCACTGGACTCAGCTGACTCTGGAGGAAAGAGTGGGGCTGATGACTTTGCACAGCTCTGCCTCACTTAAATCCAATTCACTTTGAAATCAAGACATCACCCTCATGATGTCATCGGTCCTCTTCGAGAACCAGGTATGAAGAACAACATCACAGGGTGGTAGTCATAAGAGAGGCAGTTTTTTAACCTTAAAGTTCAGTACGGTTGTGAATGATCATTTTAACTATATAAATTGAAGTGTTATTGATGTACTTTCTGTGGTTGCATTGGGGCAAAATACTAATTCTTCCTTTGTCAATAACTAACTTGTTTTTAGAAAACTCTTCTTTAATCCTATATAGAGATCCCAAAACATGTTCTTCTGAAATGAAACATATGAGGGAATAAAAGAAATGTGAGCAGCATAATTGGATGTGACTATTTTGAGTCCATCCATATCTGTGGTACTATTGATTATAATATAGCTTTACCTCCAAATATTTTAATACATAGCCACCTCCAAGTCCACCATTCTGATTGCATTTGTCTCAATATGGGAGCCAACTACTGAGCTGCCGTGAGGGTTCATGAGCAGAAGCATAGACTGGGCACTTTTGCCAATGATCTCTGTTAAGAGCTTGGGCAAGTTGGGGGCCCTTGCTCTCTGTCAATTTTGAGCTGTTTCCTCACTGGGTGGATTTGTGACATTATTGGACCAAGCGAGAGGAATGATAGATCAGATCTGAGATGCAGAACTATAAGTGCTGCATAGAAGATCCCCCAGTGCCAAATTTAGAGAGCACTGACAGTACTGGTATTCCTTCAGCAGAAGAGAAACAATGGTACTTAGCATCTAGTTAGGAAGAAAAAAAATAAACTAGGAAAACATAAGATGGAAAGGTTGGAGTGAGGTCTTCCTCAGTCCCATTTTGCTCTACCCCATCACCCTCACCAGGCGAGGGCATAGTTTGTGGTATTTTCCCCAACACAAAAGTTTCTATTTGCAATTCTGATGAGCCCTCAAAAGTAGCAGACTAAATCTTATTCAAACAAATAAAAAAAGAGGCAAAAGGGAAAGAATTCATACTGTGCCTTTAGTAGTGCTAAAATCTGTCCATCAGTTTTCTTCCTTTTTTCGTGGCTTTTTTTCTTTTTGGAGGCAGTTGGGGTTAAGTGACTTGTCCAGGGTCACACAGCTAGTAAGTGTCTGAGGACAGATTTGAATTCTGATCCTTGTGACTCCAGGACTGGTGCTTTATCCACTGCACCACCTAGCTGTCCCTCTTTTTCATTCTTAAACAATAAATAGATACAAGGTCCACTGACTTAGCTCTTTACTAATCATATCCTTTTCCACTTGTGTTTGAACTGTAATTGTTACTTGTTTTACCTGAACTTAATTAGGTTTCAAGGGCTAAAGATTTGATTATTGTGTGTTCTATAAATAATGATAACATTTGTGTAATATAAATAAACTAGAGCAATTATGTTCTTGTTTTATTCCACAGGAAAAAATATTGAGGTGAACAAAACATATTACTCATCAACTATCATACAGTATTATTTATGGTAACTCCTGATTATTAATGTTCCAGGTATTATAGGTAGTTATTTTCCCTTACATTTATGCTACCATATTTTAACACTTGGACTATGTATTTCAAAACCATAAGGCTTATACAGATATGAAGGTTTGGAATGTACATTTCTGGTACTATATGATTTACTGTAGTATGTTAACCTCTTGTCCCCACAAATTACTTTTCCCCAAGTGAGAAGAATTAGAAATAACTCCAATCCAGAGCAGCTAGGTGGCACAGCAGATAGAGCACCAGGCCTAGAGTCAGGAGAACCTGCATTCAAATCCGGCCTCGGACACAACACTCACTAGCTGTGTGACCCTGGGCAAGTCACTTAACCCCAATTGCCTCACCAAAAAAGAAATAACTCCAATAAATGGTTTAGTTTATGTTACTTCCCCCCCAACATTCATAATTGTTTCCTAAAAGAAACAGGTAATTTATTTCAGGGGCTGATTGAATCACCAGATTCAAATAGTGGTGTTAATGGATCAACATTAACATGGAGGGAGGTCTTTAGTAAAATGCCCTGATTATTTTGCCCTGAACTTGGGCAGTTCAACATGTGTATGAATGACTTGGATAAAGAAATGTGTTACACCCAAGTGGGGTGACCATCTACAGTGTAGCACCTCACAAGTTTTACTTAGATGTGGAGATAACAACTTATTCACTGAGTTGGCTTACTTACTCCAACTTGCTCTCACAATGGCAGGTCTGTGTTCCCAGAGAAGGACCATCACCTTGTGGTTAGGTTCAGATTTTCTTAGGGTCCAAATAACCCTATTAATGGGGAATGTACTTTCCTTACATACCATTTTAGCTCTTGAGCCCCCACTGATGCATTTCTACTTCCACATACTTACAATGATGACACTTATAGGTCTTAAACATAACAATTTACATATCAATAAGGCAAAAGAAATAATTATAACATCACAGGCACTCATATATTAAGCAATGGCATGAGTAATAAAATACATCACACTATATACATAAATCTAGACCATACTCTCCCATCAATGCACTGAGTATCTGTAGGAGAGAATAGGTACACTCAGGAACCCATTAGGGAAGCCTATAAAAGAGGAAAACCCGTGTGCTCACAGCTCAGAACTTCAGACTTTGATATCATCGGTCCATTTGGGAACAGCTGCTCACTTGGAACCACTTCTCTGGTAGCTGCTTTTCTGTGGGTCTTCACCTCTTTCTTCTATATTTGGACCTGATACAGAATTTGCAAACTCTTTCAACTTATAATCACCCTTAAGAATGTGTTGAGAAAGTGTTACCTCTTAATTTTGATAGCAGTAACCCTTAAGTCAAAGAACTGCTCATCAGGTTGGCTATTTGTGGGCTAAACATACCAGCCCAACCAGGATTCTGAATTGTCCAGTTTGAACAGAGTTCATAGCAAACAGCTTAAGGCATAAGGCATAAGGCAAACAAGCCTAACTAGTTCTTCATTCACCAAGATTCTGTATCGTGCACTTGTATTGTCAGCATCAGCAAAGTGAATGAAAAACATTTTTCATTTTTCTGCCTTTTGTTTTCAAACCAGATGGGGGCAGCAAATAGCAACATTTGTCTGAGATGCTTTACCTCCCTTAAACTTTAAGTGATAGTCAAATGCAGTATCTGGAACTGAAGCTCTTGTCCAATGAGGTTGTGTTTCTCTCCACCAATGAAGAATTATGTAGGTGAAGCCTTCTATCTGCTGACTTTCTGGTGCAGTTCCTTAATGAAAATCTTAGACAGAGCTGCTTTTGATTCCCTGGTTCTTCAATACTCAGTTTCATAATTCTTCCCTCTTCAGTCTCAGTCTCCTATCTCTGATTGTTATCAGTGGCTTAAATCAGAACTCCCTGGTCCTCAATGACTCATGAGTCATGAAATTCTCCTAAGAAATCAACAATCTGTTGAATATCACAATTCAGACATTATAGGATCTTATGATCTCTCTCTCTGTCTCTGTCTCTGTTTCTCTCTGTCTCTCTCTGTCTCTTTCCCTCCCTACTTGCCTGTCTGTCTTTTACCCTCTGATGTGATAAAAGCAGCTCTATATAAATGTTTTGAGAAATCATAATGCCCTCCATCTCATTTTGTGTACTTGAAACTGTGTTTCTTTGTACTTACATTATCCAGCTTAAAATAAATAAGTTCTTTCTCTTCCCTTTTAAACCATCAAACTGTTCACATACAAGGAAGGCATCATCTTTCAGCTTTTACAAAGTGATTGAACCATTATATTTATGCCATAGTTTATTTTCTGTTCCAAACTGCTCGAATTCCATCTGAAAACTATTTCTTCCTACATATGTTTTAGGAGCTTTTATTAAACCAAATTTTTTTTCCTATTCCTTTCAGACACCAAAATGTTCATCTATGTCAGAGACAGTAATATCTTATATCCTTTACCAGTTGGTATAACTCTTTTTCTTTTCACAAAGTACTTTTTCTTTTTGCCGCCCCAACCCTAAATAGTTGCATATAAAAAAAGGAAGTATCTTAAAGTGACAGTACCTTACAAGTGTCATGCTTAAAACTTTGTGGATGATACAGAGTTGGAAGGAGTAGCTACTACATTAGATGACTGAACTGGAATTCAAAAAAGATTAGAATAAGGCAAGAATGATTGGCTAAATCTAATAAGATGACATTTAATGAAGACAAATATAAAGTTATACATTTGGATTTTAAAAACTAACTGTATAAGTAAGTACTGGATTGAGAAGGCCTGGCTAGAATACAGTTTACAAAAAAAAATCAGTGATTTTAATGGGCTACAAATTCTTTACATTCTTGGAGATTTCATGGAAGCTCAAAGCTTTCATGGACCTAGTTGTCATCTCTATGAGCATTGCTCCCAGATCTCCATATTCAGTCATCATCTGATTACCTGAGCTCTAACTCCACATCTCCAGCTACTAGATATCCATCTCAAACCCAACATGTGCAAAGCAGAACTTATTTTTCTCTCCTTAAAC